TTTTTTTGGGAAACAAACAAATGATTTTTTATGCACAAGAATAACCATAAAACACTATCTCCTCAATGAACTAAAAACCCCTACTTTTAAAGAATGAAAATCAGCTGAATAGGAGTCATGTCAGCTTCTCGACCTTGTGGTGGACACCACAGTCCGCCGCACCCTAACACCACGGTCATACATACGCTGGATTTCTTCCCGGTAATCAGTCAGCGACTTGTCCGGCAAGGCGGGTGTAAACTCCACAACATCCCCCATTTTCAGCTTGCAGGCCGGGTCGCTAATGGGCTCATGGTTTAGCCTTGGCATTAGGTCCTGTTTAGTGGAAAGCCCATATGAATCCCAACGAGAAAGGCCCTGACCGGCCTTTTCCAACATATCTTTAAAGGATGAGTTTGCTGGTAACTCCTGCACAGACATCTGTAGGGTTCGAAAAATGAAATCAGATAAGGATGAAGTGTAAACTATTCACGTTGGTTCAATTAGCAAAAATATAAAAGTACATTTTAGTTATAGACTATGTTTGGTAAACCTAGCTGATACAGCTTTTAAGTGCATTTCGAGCTTATAGCTGATATCTTATGACCTATGGTTGAAAGGCTAGTTTATATGAGAAAAATGTTTGGTAAAATTAGCTGATAAGCTAGATGAAATAAAAATTCAATTATCTTATTTTAAAAGCTACGGAAAAAAACTTATGAGATAAGCTCGAGCTTTTTAAAAAAACTCGTTCTACCAAATCAAGCTTATTTGAACTTATTTGAATAAATGAAGTTTATAAGCTAGCTTATATGCTTACTAAACACAACCATAATCACTAAAAATGTTTCCCAATAATTGCTAGTTCAGTGTGGACATATTGCATGACAGAGTAAACAACTCAACATATTAGTAAGAAACAAAGAAAGTTCATGTAAAAAATGTCCTCAGAGGTATGATTTAATTAACTGAAAAAAATATCCCGAAATTCCCAACAGGTTCTTAATATTCGTTTCTAATTTACCAGTTACACGAATAACAGTCGAGAATCACCATAAACCGGCATTTGCAATTTTCACAAATAATTGGATTTCCATGAAAAGTATGGTCAAACTGCAATTGTAATTATTGCATTTATCCCATCAACTGCATTAAAAAAAAAACAAAAAAAAATCAATAACGAACCTTGCCATTCTCTATCACGATAACGAAAACAGGCCCATCAGACCCACAATCAGGTTTGCAAGAAAATATGCAGTCTTTGGAATGTGTAGGGAATGTGCAAGGTGGCTTAATGGAGTCCATAAAACCAACAGAATATGGATCTTTGCTCGTGGCCTCACACTGCCAGGAAATGACCCAACGGGCCCACTCAACCATCTGAAGAATAAAAGATGAGTGTTTACAGTCACCTTCTTTATATCTCCAATGAGCGGCAATCCCATATTCTGCTTGCAGATGCATTTCTTTTGTCCGGATTTGAACTTCAAAGGGGATCATACTCTCACCCGTGACTACTGTGTGTATTGACTGGTATCTGCAGTGTTTGTATTTCAATAAATTAAGAATATAATGTGACGGGATAAATATAGTTAGCATCTTTTTTCCGGTTTCTAATCATACCCATTAAACTTGGGATAAATAAAGTTAGCATATTTTTTCCGGTTTCTAATCATACCCATTAAACTTGGGATAAACAATGTAGTCTTTGAACCTTCCCGGTACTTCATGCCATAGCTTCTGGACAATTTTTAGAACTTTGTAACAGTCTTCTTCGGTCTCAACAATTAGCCTTAATCCATGAATATCGTAGATTTTGTCCATATTCAGCTTCTTCCTACAAAAAAGGTAATACTGATGGGTGATGAAGTAAACTGTACAAAACAATTTACTAAACAAATATTATGTTAAATGCAACTAACTGGAAAAATTAGCCTTTCGGTAAACAAAAGCCAATATTCAAATTTCAAATCATCCCACATGCATTTAAATGACACTACAGAGTCCCATGAAACAGATATCTATAGCTGATCATAATCTACACATGGAAATAATAATAATAATAATAATACACGAGCAAGGAAGGTTATTGCAATACAAGAACGTACTTCAGCATTTTGGAATAGATGCTGTACAAGCTCTTATGTCTGCCTGATAGACAGTGATAAGAAATCCCTCCATCCTTCAGTGCTTGCTCCAGCTTCTCCAAAGAAGAAGTAATCACAGTCTCATCGAAAAAATTCTCCAGCTTGGATGAAAGTTCTCTGTGATGGTCAGGGTTAAGGTATTTGAAACACAGGTTTTCTAACTGTTCTTTCCATGTCGAGATTCCTAATCTATTGGCTAGAGGAGCAAAAATTTCCAACGTTTCCTTTGCAAACCTCTGTTGTTTAACAAAAGGCAATGCATCTAAAGTCAACATATTATGTAATCGATCGGCTAGCTTTATTAGGACAGCCCTAGCATCTGCCATAGCTAGGAACATGGTATGTAATCGATCTGCCTCCACAGTCTTACTGGCTGTGTTGTTCTCCCGCGCAAGCTTGCTCAGTTGGCTCAGCTTTGACACCTGGCCAAAATATGACTCAACCAATCAAAATCTATCAATTATGAGCAAGAATTTGAATTAATCTCACAACCAAACTAGACATCACAAAAATGCACGCATATATATTAACCGAAATTGCAAATCCACAAATAGATAGGTAGTTCATTGCACAGCTACAAAAACAAACAGTCAAACCACTTTTCATTTTAACACTGCCTTTTGCTTCATAGTTTCACTTGACCATAACAAAACCATAACAAGCCATCACAATATCTTATCTTATCTGAACATGTTTAACCAAGAAAAGAATGAAATGGATTTTATAAATTCCTCGTACCCCTTCCACCAAATCAGCCACTTCAGCTCCAAATGATCGAGAAATAGTTTCGAAAGTGACAAAAGAATCGTCAACCGTGTCGTGCAAAAGCCCGGCAGCCACAACAGTTGAATCGGCACCAATGTTTGCCAATAGAACAGCTGTATCCACACAATGCTGCAAATAAGGATGCCCACTTGCCCTCATCTAACACAGATCAATAATATTTGAATCACTATGGAGCTATCAAATAAATAAATAAGTAAAAAAAATTTTCTTTTAAAGTTACAAGTACCTGGCCCCTGTGTGCCTTCTCTGCTTCACAAAAAGCCTTGACAACAAAATCACCCATGAAGATCGAATGCCTCGATTGTGCCTCAGAAAGCAAAACTCTAGCATACAAAGGCAAATCTCTCCCAACAAAACTATCCTCCATGTTAAAAGTAAGCTCATGTTCACATGTCGATGAAGCGCTTGACAAATCGAAGTCCTTCACATCCAAATCTAAAGGCGCGGCCACGCTCGAGCCCAGTGCATGCCTTACGAACCCGCTGAACGTTTTTCCGGTCCCGGAGCCAATCGAGCAAAAATCAGCCCCAAATCTCATTGGCGGGCTCCGAGGACCCGACCCAATCGAGCTACCCATGCCCTGAAGCACGGATACCGGGCTCTGATGCCCCTGATCTCGCTTCAAGGACGAGCTCAACGACGAGTAGCGGCACGAGGACCCCAATTCCTCTGCCCTATCCTCGGCTCCGGAGGCGTAGCTCGAAGGTTTGATTTGCGGCGAGGAGAACAGGCGCGAAAGGCCGCCGATTAGGGGCTTTTGCGACGGAGATGCGGAGGCGGAAGAAGCCGAGCGGGCGCCGACGTCGAAATCGTGGGGGGTGATCTGGTGAGGCCCGGAGCACAGGCTGCCCGGTGGGTTCGCGTAGAGCGCTATGGTCGAGACCGCCATTTAAACTGATGACCCTTTCAATCCACAGGAAAAAAGTCCCAGGTTCAGCAAATTGCTGTGATTTTGGAGCCGTTATTCACTTTCTCCGACCAATTAAACTCACTTTTTTTTCCGGCCAGTTAAACAGAGAGACGGTGGAGAAAAGGGAATATCGGAAGATATACTGGGATTCGAAAACAGAGAATCTGTAATATATACACACAGACAGAGAGATCGGAAAGTGGAAATCTTGATCCTTGGTTGGAAGATTCAAATGGACAAGTCAATAAAGCAAAATTGTTTGGGAAGAAATTTGTTTGTATTTTTTAAGAGATGTTTTTTCGAGTGTTTCTTGTATGTTCTTCAACCGTGATTTTTATTCCGGCGGTGACACGAATTGTGGACACTTAAAGACGGAAATGCCCTCGTGCAGTACCTGAAATAACGGAAATGCAGATTTATGTTTGGGCGTTATCCTTTTCCCCCTTTTAAACCTAGCTTAAAAACTAGTTGATAGACTATTATTTAACTATCCGTATATCTTGTATTAGGTTATCATACTATTTTATCAATATTTTAGATTTTTATTATAAAATATCATAATGTAATAAACTTCATAAATAGATTTATTTGATAGTGTAAGTGCATTTTTCTTCATAAAACATACCGAATCGACCTGACTAACGATTAGACAGTCAAGAGATTGTGC